AGAGAGAGAGAGAGAGAGAGAGAGAGAGAAGGAAGGAGGAGGAGGAGGAGGGAGGAAGAGAGGAGGAGAGAGAGAGAAAGAAAAGAAAAAAGAAAAGAAAAGAAAAGAAAAGAAAAGAAAAGAAAGAGAAAAGAAAAATCAAAAAAGGAATTAGGTCCCTGCTACACAATAGACACAAAAAAATCAACTCTAAGATAAAACATTATCACCTTTCAAAAATGAATCTGAACCATGGACTCAGAAAGCCTTTTTTGATATCATCTATTCAATTTATAGATGAGAAACCACATTTTCCAGGGGAGACTTGGGTAGTGTTGTACTTTCTTGGTCTGGAGGTATTATATTTTTCCCCTATTTTTCCAGGTAGAAGCATTCAGGCTCTGAGTCTCCATCACTGGCCCGGGCTCTGGAACAACTATTTGAACCCAGCCCTCAGCTGCTACACTAAGTGACCACCGCAACCAGCCACCAACCAAGGGACCAAGGGCCACACAAAGCCACGTGCAGTCCTCGTGACCTCCCTCCAGGGTAGGGTGTGGACTGCAGGGCTATTGGCTGCTCTGGGCAGGTCCAAGAAAACCCCCAGGTTCAAGGTGATAAGGCAGTCCTATGGGGTTGGCAGGCAGGGGGTTCATTTTTAAGGGCTGGGGCATCCATCACCTGCCCTTGAATGACTGTGCTCAGCAACCACACAAGAAGGAGTTCTGCGGTCGGCCCAGGCAGCCGCTCATGGGGCAAAGGGGGTTGTAAGTCAGGAGAAAAAGTAGAGGCTCAGAGAGGTTGGACGATGGGCCCAAGGTCACACAGCTACACAGCTGCGGAGCTGTAAGGTGAGGACGTCCTGCCCCTCAACCGGACACCTGGTTCTCTGGTCCTTCTCCGTCTCTGACACGAGCACTCACACATGCGGCACCCGGGCTCCCACTGGGGAGAAAAGACACTGCCACCACCAACTTGCAAGTCACACTTTATTCACTCGCCAGGATGTCTGGGGTGGGGGGTCCTGGGAAGCAGACCAGGACCCTGGGAAGGAGGAGATGAGGAGCATTAGCTGGAGGGGTGGAAGGCGCCCCGCTGGTGCCACTGCATGTCACGGATGCGGCGCACAGACTGCACCTGGGGCTGGGGCGCCCCGAAGTCACCGCTGTCCTTGTAATCGCCCTTCTCCAGCAGGTACTGCAGCCCGCGGTAGCCAGGGTACTGGTAGCCGACCCACCTGCGGGGCCGCGGGAGACGGGAGCAGCAGATGGAGAGACAGAGAGGGAACCGTTCAGCCACTGGGAAGGGTGGAGTCCCCCAGACATTCCACACTTCCCCGGTCTTGAGCAGGAAAACCACCACCCTTCCCGGGTCCAGCCTCTTCCTTCCTCCTTTTGATGGGGAACTCACTACCTCCAGAAGCAACTTTCGTTTTATTCTTTTTGTTCTTTCCCCCGCCCTTAATGGAGGCCCTGGGAATTGAATCCAGGACCTTGTGCGTGCCCAGCATGCGCTCTGCCACTGAGCTCTACCCCACCCCACCCCCAGAAGCAAATTTTAACTAGAGGCCTGACAGTGGGTTCAGAGGAAAGGGTGATCTAAAGCTCACTTAAGCTTCGAATCAGACAGGCCTCTTAGCCCAACACTCAGCCCCACTGCAAGGCCAGGGGCGGTGGCCGAGGCCCCAGGAGCCCTGTCATCCCTCTCCCCTCTGAAGCCAGCACCACTCAGTGGGTCACTCTGTGCTGAGTACCTGATGAACATCAGTCTTCTCCCCAGAACACGTCGCACAGCCCTGGCCCCCACGGACCTGCCCGGCCAGCCCCTGTGGGCACCTCCAGCTCTGCTTCTCAGCCTCGTGCCCCTACACCTCTGCAGCCCAGCCACTCTGTCCTTCATAGAGTCCTTCAGACTCCCCAGGCTCTTCCCACCACAGGACCTTTGTATGTGCCGTTCTCAGCATCTGGGATGTCCTTCCTTCTCTTCCTTACCCCCTGCAATTCCTACTCAGCTCAAGAGTCCCTTCCCTCAGGGAATGAGGCTGGATTTGTGTGGATTCCTAAATTATTAGGAGTTTCCCCCCAAGCAGACTGTAGTGACACAATGCAGAGACCAGGTCTCTTCAAGCTACCTAGGCTTACTGACCACCTAACACAGTGCCTGGCCCATGACGTCTTTCGACAAGTTCAATCAATTAATGACTAAGTCAGTACATTACAAAGAACGTGAGTACAGAAATCTGCATGCTATTTTAAGAGTCTGACAAGCTCCAGAAGGCCAGTATATGCTGCTAAACTAGCTCCCTTAAGGGGGAAAAAGTCTTGATTTTCAATTTCTGTGGTGTAGATACTTCTGTGACTGATTATTTAAAGCTACGAACGATTAAACCACTGGCTCACAAAAATTCTAAGACGTTTTAAACAGTCAGCTTTTGCAAGCTGGTACAAGCCAGCTCAGCACACAGCTGCCCGAAGCCCGTCTTCAGACTCCCTGTGGAACCCGAACTTTTCACCATGAGAAATTCCCCGATGCTGACGGCTGAGGTGTACGTGCCAAAGTTTAATTCAGTGGAGGAGGACGCCTCCTACTGCCAATCTCAGGAACTCATGCAGTAAAAGGCGAGCACGGGCTGGACTTCCTGCCTCGCCCAGCTCTGTCAGAGCCACTCAGCTCATTCGCAGCCTCCGGCTCTCCACCCCACCCCCGGGCCTCTGCCTTACCCCTGCCCCACCATTTACTGTCCTCCCCCTCCTCCCCCTGCAGCCACCACACCATTTACTGTCCTGCTCTCTGGGGCTGAGGTTAGGGCCAGGGTTTCTCTCCCCCAGAGGTCAGGTATTGCCCAAAAGACAAGTCAGGGTGGAACTTCAGGGGCTGAAAGCCACAAGACGGCTGAAGATTTGCACGCCCATTTTCCAACAAGAAGACTGAGGCCAGGAGCATCCAAGATGACCAGCAGAGTTCAGGGCAGAAGAGGACTTAGGAGCCCGGGCTCCGGGCTCCCAGGGCGGGGGCGCACTCACGTGCCGCTCTGCACCCGCACGGAGGACACCTTCTCCTGGTAGCCGTGCGCGTGGAAGCTGGGCACGTCATCGTCTATGACCTCCATCTTCTTCCCCGTGAAGTTGGGGTTCTCGTACAGGATGATCTTGTGCTCCTGGCTGTCCTGTGGACAGGAGGCGGGGGAAGCGGGTGTGAGCGAGGGGACCCGCCCTCGTGCCCCGCAGGCTCCACCTGCAGCCACGAGCTTGTCTACGACAACTGCATCCAACAGCGGCCATCCATGAAGAGCCCCCTGGGCTATCTTCACGTGACAGACACTCCGGATTCTGCACTTTGAGGAATATCTGATTGCGAAATGTCATTTCTCCTCCCACAGCCTCAACTCCCCTTTTTAAAATAAACGGCAGCTGGATACACACATACACACACAGGCTTATTGTGCCTCTAAGTAGACACTTGAAATATTTTGGCTTTTCTTCATCTCTACGTATATTCTTATCCTCCCGTTGTGTGACATTTTTGTTAATCATCTCCTTTAATCCTTTAAACCACTCTTATGCTACTTGGCAGATGAGAAAACTAAGGCTCAGAGAGGTAAGGTGACTTGGCCAAGGCCATCCAGCTGGGAGTGCCAGAGCCAACAGAGGAATCCACGTCTCAGGAATGCTAAGTCCAGTGTTATCCAATCTTCCATCAAGCTCTGGAGAGAACTAGACTGGGCTGGCGGGGCGGGGTTTGGGGTGTACCTGAGCATCCCTGGGCCCTTTGCCCTCCCAGAACACTCACACGCTGGTAAGGATCAGAGAAGCACTGAGAGGTCTTCCTGGTATGAATTATGAACAAGAGCTAAACTGCCTTCCCACCACCCCAAACCCAGAACCTCTTTGAGTATTTATGGGGGGGAATCGTATACTGAGCACTTGCTCTGTGACTGGAGGCGCAAAGCCCTGGAGAGCACTGTCCACACAGACGACAATGTGCACAGTGCCCCCTGGAGCATTTTGAATGGATCCCTTGAAGTTGTGTGATCTGGTGCCTCTTGGGCCAAGCAGGCTGGAATCTCAGGACAGTAGGCACTAATATCCCCATTTTACAGTTGAGGAAAACTGAGGCTCAGGGAGGTGAAGTGACTTAGGTGAGGTCACATGGCCAGGAAGTCCCCCGCCCGTCAGAAGGGGCATGATGCCAGAGGTGAAGGCTCCTTTCTGGTCCCTAGACCTCTGGCTCCAAGGGGGCAGAGAAAGGAAGAAGAGGAGGGTCGGGGGGCTCACCACTTTGATGGGCCTCAGGGAGCTGAGGGAGTCCGTCCTTCGACTGCTGGTCCATGAGTCCCAGCGGGGGTACTCACCCTTCTCAAACACAAACTGCTCTCCTTTGCAGTTGGCTTGTTCGTAGCCCACCCAGCTGCAGTGGAGAGAAAGAGACAGAGAGAGAGCAAGTCAGGCCCACTCCAGGCTCCCTCTGGTGGGACCCTGGCCACGCGCTTGGGCCCCAGAGCTCACAGCTGCTCCGCTCATCAAAACGAGTAGCAGCCTCCCCTAACTCCAAGCACAGCGAAGCCAAGAGTGGTGAGATTAGAGTTGTCTGGGTTTTTTGCACCAAATCATTTCTTCTTCATTTTAAATAATAAACAATAATTAATAAAAACATCAAAGTTAGATTTTTAAAAAGAAAGCAGAGGAACATAAAGTCTGTTTGAGAAACTTCCATCTAAACACTAACAAAAGACAACTGAAAATCAGATGTGGCACTTCAGTGGTCAAAACTTCAGTCGTCCAGGGGTGGGTACTAGCTCAGCGGTAGAGCATGTGCTCCACCGGCATGAGGTCCCGGGTTTAATCCCCAGTCCCTCCATTAAAACAAAGAAAAAGGCAACAACATTTCAGCCGGCCAGGAAGGTGTGCTCTTAGGCACATTGACGCCCCACGTGTATCAGGCAAGCGGGCCGCAGCAGGACCGCTGCCTTGGCTGTGCTCTCCACATCAGCGTCGCCACAGAGAATTCTGCAGAGTGGGATGGCCCTGCTTGAATAAGGGTCACTCAGGACCCACACGAGACTCACTGACCTGCTGGCTGGGGGTCACTGGGGGCCACCTCTGATTTTGGAGGCTCCTGCAAAGAGGGAACCACACGGAAAGGCCTACAGGCTGTGCTCATCTACGTGACATGGGCCCAGGAGAGCCAATCCAACCAGTCCCTCCCCTTCTCTCTTGGGTCAGAGTTACCAAAGCCTGCTGGCCCCCAAATGTATCAGTGAATCTGCTAGATTAAGTATCACCAGGATCTGGGAAGGGAGGGATGGATGCAGAGCTGGGACGTCCAGCTTTAAACCTCCCAGGAGAATGAGGAGAATTCGCAGAGCCAGAGACTGGCAGCTCTAAAAAAGTCCCTGGGAGTCCCTGTGTCCGTCTCCCTGCCTCAGGGAAGCGGCTGCCCTCGGTGTCAGGCTTTTCACATGAGCTCTCTCCCTTCATCCCCAAGAGAACATGGTTATCCTCATCCTGCAGAGGAGGAAACCGAGGCTCAGAGAGGGCAGTTTCTGGTCCAGCATCACACAGCCCAGAAGTGGTGGAACCAGGATTTGAATCAGCTCTGACGTCATAGCACAAGCTCTGCCAAGACCCCAAATCCTGGTCCCCTGATCGCACAGCCTAGGAGCTCAGTGAGAGCGGATCCCTCCAGCTCCACAGCCCGATTGCCTCACCTTGGCAGCCCCCGACCAAGCGACGCCCCCCAGGTACATACGGTCCAGCCTGAACCAGGACAGAGGCGGCCTTCTCCACGCCGGTCTCCTTCAGGTTGGGGCAGGGGCCGTTAAGCTCGTGCGAGTGGCCCTGGAAGTTCTCCTGCTCAAAGATGATGATCTGCAGGAGGAGAGAGTCGGACCCCGTCATGATGGGGATGGGGGAGAGTGGGGCGGTGGGGGTGGAGAGGGGACTCGGAGAGCCTCAAAGGATGCTGAAGGCTTCCACGCTTGGGAATCATGAACCAAACATAAAGTCAGACAGTCCTGGCTCCAGTTACCAGCTGTGAGAACTTGGGCCAGTATCTCACCTCTCTGAGCCTCAGTTTCCACAGCTGTAAAATGGAAATGAAGGCAGAACCTACTTCATGGTGTTGCTGGGAAGATTAAGAGGAGCATAACTGTTAACACACTGTCTCTGCTCTGGTGTGGGGGGCATAATTCAAGGACATGCTACGGATCCCAAGGGGGTAAGTGGCAAAGCTGAAATTGGAGCCCAAGCTTGTCTGATGCCGTTTCCAGTAGAGCAGCACTTTGCCAACTCTAGCACGCACACAAGGTACCTGGCATCCTGATAAACATGGTTTCCAAGGCAGCAGGTCTGGGGTGCCTCCCCTGGTTCTGCATTTCTAATGCGCTCCCAGGTGAGGTTGGTACCACTGGCCTGTGGACCACGGCAGGAGTAGCAAGATGCCAGACCATGCTGCTTAAGCTTCTTCTGCCCCCACTAGAGCTGGACCAGTACCACTGTATCCACCCCCACCCACAATTCACCCGTAAAACTACACATACCTGTGCCCTTTTCTTGAGCCCCATGGGTTTTGCAGGCTTTCCTCCCCCTCGGGATACTTAAGAGGACTTCATCCCCTTGCCTGACCTGGTCCTCTCATCAGCCCAGGGAGGGGTTGGCAGGGTTCCCATCCGGGTAACTGAAGCTCAGGAAAATGAAGGGGCTCATGGCCAAGTGCAAACAGGAGGCTGAGTGCCTGCTTCCATGAGTCCAGAGAGAATCTGGAGGCAAGCGTTTTCCAGCCACACATGCCCCAGGGAGCTGCCCCTGGATGAAGAGGCTCCCAGGAGGGGCAGCTGCACAATTCACATGGTCAGCACTGGCTAGGTAAACATGCCCCTCTCTCCCAGGCTGGGGATTAGCCAGACAAAGCCAGGGGAGGGAGGCCCAGCAGGGCTCAGAGTCACATTCCAGGGGCTCAATTCAGCCTTCATGGTCACTGACTCGACCACAGATGGGTCAGGAGACCTGGGCTTTAACATCACTTCTGCTGCATCCAGCTATGCAACCCCAGGAAGCCACGTGATTGCTCTGAGCCTCAGCTGCCCCATCTGCAAAATGGGGAACCATGTCTATTTTGTAGGGTTACAAGACTCAACAGCATGGAAGTCAGGGGCTAGTATGTTATGACCCTGGCCTGGGAGACCAGGGCTTGTAGGGGTGAAGAGTGAGGAAAGTCAGCCTCTCCATGCATTTGAAAGGCCTCAGAGAGCCCAGGAGTTCAGTATTATTATTTATCAACAAGTGGATGGTAAAAATTTACACATCACCCAATCCTTTGACCTGCACAGTCCAATATGGCAACCAATAAGCTACACATGTCTATTGAACACGTGCTACTAATCTGAACTAGGATGTGCTGTAAGTATCAAATATGCATCAGATGCTGAAGATTTAGTCTGAAAAAGAGAAGGTAAAATAGTTCCCTAATAATTTCTCTAATGACTATGCATTGGGATATACTGGATTTAATAATATGACAATTTCTGCTATTTCTTTTTACTTTGTCAACGTGACTCTTAGGAAACATTAGACTCCACATGTGACTTGTTTGAAATCTATTGGAGGGCACTGCTCCAAATCACTTCACACTGGACGCCTTGCTGCTCAAACTCTCCCAGCTCATTCTGACCTCTGGGCCTTTGCACTTGCTGTGCCCTGTGCCTGGAATTCTCCCCTACCCCTACTCCCTGACTTCCACATGGCTACTTCCTCACTTGTCTCCAGATGCCACTCCAATGTCACCTCCTCCAAGAAGTCCACCCTGACTACTTTAGCTTACCTGTTCCCCATCCACCCCACTTGTTGGGAAGCCTACTCGTTTAGTTTCTTCCTAGCACTTCTCATTCCTTGAAGTCACATTTATTAGTTTATTGTCTGTATTTCTAGAAAGCCCCTTAAGGGACAGAATGGGGTGACTGGGTGAGGGGCTGTATCAGCTCAAGATTTCCAAGCTAGGGGGCAATCAGACAAAAGGGCAGATCCAGGATAGAATTCATGTCCGGGGCCCCTGAAGCAGAGGGAAACAGGAGAGCAGCCTGGTGGACGGCTGCTGGTAGAAGTCTGGGGGCAGATTCGGTGTGACAAGCCCCTGACTTTGGGATAAGGTCGCATCACCTTAGGAGAGAAGACAAAGGCGGCACCATTAGCTGGCATTAGGTGGACACACACTGGCTCAGCCTGATTTCTTTGCTTCTTCACAATTACCTTTTGCTGTGAATCTGATTCTCCCTATTTTACGAAGGAGGGAACTGAGGCCCAGAGAGGTCAAGTGACTGGCCTAGGTCACACAGCAGGTATGGAGTCAAGAATCTCAGCCCACTTCCCATTCACAAGCCCCCTTTCAGAATAGACTGAGGGTCCGCCCCAGCTTTGGGCCCCCCCCCAGGCAATGGAAAACTTAAATATCTGAAGCCAGAAGCATGCCAGTCGTGGGCTGGGGAGGGACATTCTGAATCAGTGCCCCCCGCAATCCCAGTGTTCAAGTTGGGGAGACTGAGGCCCAGAGAGGGGAACCCCGGGAAGGAAGATGTCAACCCCACTTTACAGAAGGGAAACCAAGTCTGGGAGAGGCATGGTGCTTGCCACCCATCTTCCCCACCCCGCATGGTACCCACCTTGGGGTTGAGGGGCTGTGGCTTGCCCGCTTGGGTCTGGAGGTCTGAGGCCATGGTGGGCTGTCTCGTGCAGGACTGACCTGGAAGACACGGGGAAGCAGCAGTGAGGTCTCTCTGGGCCCTCGCCCTCTCACTGCGGGGCCTCGGAGCCCCAAATCCCATTTTGTCTCCCTGGTTTCAGGAGATCCTGGAGCGGTGGGGTCTGCAAAGCAGCTGCCCGAACATCCATCCTTAGCTTCCCTTCTTTGGATCCAGGCCAGCTCCGAGGGGGTAGGGGAGAGGAGAGAAATGAGGTCTACTGAACTATAAAGTGGTAAACTAGAGCTTGAGTGGGGCCCCAGGTGGGTCCTCATCACCTAGAACCAGACAACTGATGCTACATAGAATGCAGCCCCACTGATTTTATGCAGAAATTTCTTGATTAAAAGAAAACAGTGTGGGCTGACAAAATCCACGCTTGATCAGTCTGTAGCTCTCAATCTGCCATCTCATAAAGTACCCTGTACCCCCTGCCCCTCGTCCCCGACTTCCTCCTTGACTCCCCGCCACCCACCCAGTACCCAGAACCCTCCTCTCCACCACTCGTCTTATCCCCTCCCCGATCAGTGCACACATCTGTTATGGAACTCATTCCACACCAGAGCAAAGACCTGAGTCTAAGGTAGAAGTTCAGACACCAGGACAGGCAGAAAGGGGGAGAAATTCTTAGCGTCTGAGAACATCAGGAAAGGCAGCAAAAGTGTCGGTTTCTTCTTCCTTCCTGCAGGAGCGGGAGAGAACCCAGTCTATGTTCCTAGTGAAGAGGGGAAGCCTGTCTCCTTCTCCAGAGATTAACATCCAGCTTCCAGAAGCTCCTTCTATTCCAGAGACCAGGCCAGGACGTTCCCCAGAAAGAGGACATTCAACTAAGCAGTCTGGGAGCCAGCCGTCTGGGCCGGTCACTGTGCCCAAGACCCCACCATTACCGTCCCCCCATCGGCATCCTCAGGTTAAAGATTAAGCTCAGTTGGTTCAACTCAGGGGCTGCCTTCGCCGCTTACCAGCATCAAGGCTCTGGGAAGGGCATCGTCTTGGCGCCTCAATTTCCTGCTCTGTAAAATGGGGACAGTGTGGCGGGACACAGAGTGGGCGCCCAGGAACGTTTGTAGATATGGAGAGTGGACTCACCGCCCTTGAACGAAGCTGAACCTTCAGTGCTTCTATTCTTTCCACTCGCAAACCCTCAGCTATATTCTCTTCCTCAAAACAAGGATGCTGATGGACTGTTCAGTATCAAGACAAAGCATTGCCAAAGTACACATCCTGGGCCAGGCGCTGCGCTGGACCACTCACCTACGTTATCTCTGAGCCCCACAGCCAAGGAGGTTTTATGACCCCCTCTCCCCATTTAACAGAAAAGAAAGCCAAGGCTCAGAGCCTTGACATCTTCGCCCAAAGTCACCCTGTCAGAAAGTGGTAGCATCTGGATTCAAACCCAGGTCTCCTACGCTCTCCATCAGGGATGAGGATGAGAGAAAAAGGCAAGACAAGCGAGAGAGGCATTCTTACCAGTGACACCAGCCCCTGAGAGTGCCCGTGAAGCTGGCCGGCGGGAGGTGGCATTTATACCTTCCCCAGGAGTGTCTGTGCCAAGACGGGTGACCGCTGCATCCCTGCGGAAAGCAGGGTGAGAATGCTGAATTAAGCCCACACCAAAGCCCGGGTCAGCAAATGCCCACAGACATTGTGTCTCTGCACAATAATGTCATTAGCTTTCAAATTCGGCCGCGCCAGGGTGGTCAGGTGGCCAGGCAAGGAGATGCCCACTTTGCATGCATCAGCCTTCCCGCTGCCAGGACTCGGGCATGCTGGGTTCACTGGTGTGGTCAGTTGAGCCCTGGGGGAGGCAGACAGAGGCAAATCTCAGTGGCCCTGGGGGAGAAAAAAAAACAAGCACAGGAAGTTGGTTTGGCAGGGTCCAGAATCCATCCATCCATCCATTCATCCATCCAAATATTTATCAAGTATGTACCTGATGCCAAGCTTGGCTCTAGGGGGTAGTGTCAGGGAGGGGATGTACCCCAGCCTGGAGCATCCAGGAAAGCTCCTGGGAAGGGACAAAATCCTCAAGGATGTGGAGAAATTAGCCTGGGAAGCCAGGATGGGAGAAGAGTTCCAAGCAGAAGGGGATCAGATAGAACATGCTGCTGGGGTATTTCAAGAAGACTTACAAACAGGTTAATGCAGCTACAGGGTGGCCCGTGGTGGGGCAGGACCTGATCGTGCAGGGCCAAGGAGAGGGATGGTCATCCTGAAGGGCCCTGACAGTCCCAGCACCTACTGTTCCCAAGGGGGCCGCCCTAAGGACCCTCGGGCCCCGTGATTTGGAGAAACCTCTCCAGTCCCTACTGCCTGCCCCATCGCTGCCCCTGGGCTCTTGGCCTTTCCTGGCACTCCTCCGGTATGTACGGCTTCCCTGCAGCCTGCAGTGTGTCTTGACCGAATCCAAGGTCAGGCAGGAGAGAGGGGACGGCACTGGGGTTTGGAAACTGGGTTCGAGTGAGGAGACTTGCTCGCCTCACCTTCTGTGCCCCCGATACACACACAGCCATGCTGCTTCTCTGTAGCACTTGTCAGCACCTGACACTGTTAGTCATAATTTGCTGTCCTTCCAATGGGAAGAAACACATCATGATTGGCGGGGGGAGATAGCTCAAGTGGTAAAGTGCATGCTTAGCATGTGCAAGGTCCTGAGTTCAATCCCCGGTACCTCTCCTAAAACAAATAAATAAATAAACCTAATTACACCCCATCCACCCACCAGAAAAAAAGTGCCTCATGAGGGAAGCGCCGTCTGGTTTACCATCTGATGGGCTGCACCCCGCAGGCCCACAATCAAACAGTGGATCTTACACAAAGGTTCCTGGAGCAACATGCCACCGTGTGCAGCAGACGGTGGGCAGGGTGTGGCAGGAATTTTCACTACCCAAGTGGCCATTTACAGGGTTAATCAGGTGGGTTCATCAGTTACCAGGGACTACTGAAGCCCGATAATCATGAGGATTGGGTGATCGTGGGGGTGAAGCAGGGACTGGTTGTGTGGGGGATGCAGAAAGAGCAAGAGAACAGCCATCTGGCGTGGCCTGACCCTACACCCCACCCCTACACACCCTGCAGTACAGACACCAGCGGCTAAAGAGAATCATGAGTTCAGGAGGGGGGCAAACATTGGAGCCAGGCGCTTATCACGTCAACTTTCATGGAATTCCGAGAGGCGGATGAGAACGGCCTCTCGCAGCCGACCCAGCAGTCAGACTCGTCTTGGAGGAAGGTCATGCTTGTCACTCAGTCTGCAGGTTCCCTCTGCTCAGACTCGGGAGGAAATGTAAGATGTTTAACAGGCACAAGGCAGAGAAGATCATGGCCGTTAAGCAGAAGCAGCGCTCGGAGCTCCCATCACCCCCGCCTGTGGCTCTGTCCTGGCCTGCAGAACCCACCGCCAGCCCGCCCCAGTCCGCACGGCCGGTGCCCAATACTGAAGAGGCGGTGTAACGACGGACCACAGGGTACTACAGTGGTGCCTTTCTCCAGCAGGCGCCCGGGTTAACTACCGCAGCAGTCCTAGGTAGGTGGAAGACAAGTGAGATCTGTAAATCCATTTCTGATTTTATTCCCCACAAGGCAGCAAACCCAAACAGCAGGGGACTTACCTGCTGGTCTCAGGGCCTTTTTATAACGTGTTCCCCTGGGGGTAGATCCCGTGTCAGGGGCAAAAGCAAGTTAACAATCCTTTGATTTGGGTCAAGAATTGAGCTCGGATGGTGTTGACTGGTTGCCTCTGGGCTAATGTGGCGGGGGCACTGGGACCACTGCTCCTGGGATGGCCAGTTACGGTGCCGGGGTCTTGAGTTAGCCTCCCAGCCCACGTGCTGAGAGCCGGTTCCCACGACAGTTGCGTTTAAGTCCCTTCCTAGCCCGGCAGCAGTGGGGTTGTAAGGCAAGGCCAGTGGACGGCATTTCTGTCGGCCCATTCCTGGACTTCATGGCCACTGATCACTATGGATGCCCACGGGGGTCCCGCAGGTCACGCACAGCTGTTCTAGACCCGATAGTGGTTTATGGCTGGATGACTTGTTGGCCCTTTGTGGGTCTCCCACCTGTTGCACCGCGTTGTAGGCGGCGTGTAGCTGCGGTCCCATCACTGTGTCGTTGCTCCGCCCCTCGCATTGCTGGGACCCGGAGCCCAAGGGCACTCTGGTTATCCTGCCGTCGCCGCAGGCCCCAACCAAACCCCTCCGGGTTAACAGA